TACCAATGAGATCCATAGGGGAGTCGGTTATACTCAAGATTGCTGTCAAGTACCGTTTTCCAGTGAACTGACACAATCATATGAGTAGTCATGCTGAGTCTACACATACTATCGTGTAATGTTAATATGAGAAATTTGGGAAAGTATGCTCGCTAGAAAGTACTATTCATGATGCTCTTACAGCGTACTGCATTGGCAACACTATCAGTAGTAGTTCAGGAGCTAATCTGATAATTTGAACAAAGTTTGCAGCAGACACTTTTTTTAAAGAAGTGTCTACTTGACACTGCTCATAAGGAAAGCAGACAGCTGTGCCCTTGGAGCTGGGTTTCACACTGTGCTGCAGGGAGGGTACATCAGTCAAACTGAGGGAGGGAGACCCCTCTGGTTTTGTACTCCTCTGTGGCTTCAGGTGTTCGCATCATCTGAAGGAAGGAAAAAACCTGGCCATGGCATTGCAGAGAGGTCCCTGAACAATCCCAGTCCCTGCCTTTGATAGAAAAAGATCAAGCTTAAAGAGTGAACTTAAACATCACACAGTGCAGTGAGTTGTCATTAAATTACCAAGTTGACTCCAGCGTCTTTCTGCTTGAATCATTTTGAACACAGACATGTGTATCTTTTTACAACATTTTTGAGTATTATAGCCAATTCACAAGCTCCCTCTGCTGGGCTTCCAGCATAGGAGACTAATGGCAAAGCTCCTGTTGGTTACTTGTAGACTGACCCATTTTTTTCCAGCTTATTTTTGACACTTTCTGCAGCATCAGAAAAAGTATATTATCTAATTCATGCAAATGGCTTTTTAGAAGTGTGACAAAGACAGGTCTGATGTGTTAGATGCATTTTAAAAAATTTTTAATGCATAGAAGAAGGATTTTTCCATAGTAATGTAAGTATAGCTGTTACCTCCTAAAATTACTGATGCATTTATAAAAAGGTAACGATACTTGGCATTCAGTAATGCCTTCTATTACTTACATACGGGAAGGAGCTCTAGGAAAATAAATACAGATCTTTTAAAAGAATTAAAAGCTTACAGTCCTCAAATATACTCAATACAGTATGCAGTTTTATGTAGCAGTGGTTTTCAAAAGGCAAATCATGAGCCAAGGGGCTTGTAGGAAGCATTCAGAGGAGCTGAAAATGTTACTGTAATCAGAAGCAAAGAAGAGCTGGTCCTACTTCTTTCTGCCTAATCCTCAAGGTCAAGATTTCTGTCCATAGTTTTTGAAACACATATCTAGGGCCTAGCATTGTCAAAACCAATATATTATGCAATCTCTCTTAGTAGATTTAAAATGAGTTGTGAAATTATTTACTTCCAACTAAACAATCTCAGGTTGAGAAAGACTGGTAACAACAACAGAGGACGATGTTCTGTGATTGCTGTAGACATAGCACTTCCTTGCTGACTTTTAATAGGGATTTACTGAATCAAGTACCTGCCTTAAATAATCCACAAATTTGTGGAGTGCCTTAATGGGAGAAGGCATATTGTCTGCAGTGGCACAAGAGAAAACTGGAGAGACTTTAGAAACGATCACTGTTTTTTTTATCACAAGTCAGGCTCCTAGACACAGGCAGTTGTACGAATACTAAGTATTATAGTGCTGCTTAAGCGTTGTGCTTAGAGTAAAAGAAATATGGGAACTCAGCTGCCACCAGTGTGAGTGAGTGGAACAGTTATTTAACAGCACACAGCATTACTGGACAATGATTTAAAACAGAAAATTAAGAACTCCACCAACCAATTGATAGGGAAATTGCAGGGGAGATGTGGAATGCGTGTATTCCAAACTTCAGCCTAGTGTGGAGACTAAAATCAACAGTGCTGATGTGATAGGATAGGTTGTGGTGTCTTTAAAAATACAAAAAGAGTTAGCGGAAATATTAAACCAGCAGCAATATATCTCAGTGTCAGTAGTCTTTTGGCTATGTACTGACGTGATAAAGAATAATTTTACCTACTGTGTAGCCAGCTCATACTGAATGACATTCAAGAAGTTTCTCCAAAGATGTATCTATCTCAAGCATGAATTTTTTTTCTGGGTAGCGTATTCTCATATTGGCTTTATTCTTCATCAAAGCATCTGACAGCTTTCACCAGAGGACGTGATATCAATATGCAATTTATCCTTTCAAAGCCTTTGGGACGATCAGTCTATTTCGTTGCCATCCCTAATTAAACATATTGCTTCAGTAATTCCCCGGGGCAAGGAGGCATTGTGACTGCACTGAAATGAAAATGAACTTTGTAGAACCACAGCTACACTGTCTGTGATTATGATTAATGTAGTCTGTGATTGTTGTTTTGGTCATAAGTTTTTTAGCTGTTTTATTAAAGGTATTATGAGGGAGCATACAGAGACTAGCCACGGATTTTATTTCTTGGCAAGGTGAGAGAACTCTGAGGAGGTTTTGGTTGAAATAAGATGGGGGAAGCCGTTGGAAATATTAAACGTGATCTCTGATCATTCAACCTTTGGAAGGCCACTAATAGTGGTGGTAAGTGAAGGTCTCTGTTCCAGCCAACCGTTTCCTAGAATAAGGATCAAATACAAATCCTTCATATTTAAGTGCTTTGGAAAACAGGTAGCAGCCCTAGAATGAACTCTGGGTTGAGGCACTTGGTAAGAGATACTTGGGGTCAGCACAAAAATTTTCTTATTTCACTATTAGTTAGGACACATCTCCTACCTGCCTTAAGCGTACAGGTCAGTCTGAGTGGCCAGGGAGAAGGTTGCTTTCAAGACAAGGTTATTTTCTTTTCTGTTTGGTAAGGTGGAAGTGGTCAGGATGGGTTGATTTCTATCATCTGTTCTGATTAAATAAGTGTTTTTTCTTTGAATGTGGGCTTTTTTTGCATTCTGAAAAAGAGGTGATACTCATTAGCGTATTTCATTATGCCAGCTGAAAAGGTACGTGATCATGAGTGATCATAGTGCTTAAGTGTTTGACTTTTTACATTTACTTTATATTTAAAAATGGTGAACAATGCGTTTCTTGCTAGCTGGTACTTCTTTATGTAGCATTGTGCAAGTCTGGATTTGGGTGGAAGTTTAAATACATTTAAACTACACAATCAGCATTTTAAAGTAGTCATTAATTCAATTTAAAAATTAAATGCACTGAACATAAAAATAAGCTTAGCAAAACATGTTTTGTATTGAAAGCCAGTTGATTTATTAGGTAAAGGAACCATTACATACAGAAAATGAACTAATTATGATTTTTCTAATCAGCATTCCTTTGCCTTCCAGAATTACAACTAGGAGATCTTCACGTTTATTTTTAAAGGGCTACCTTACTAATCCTTTTACAAAGTACAGAATTTGGAGGACAGGTCCCAAACTACAAGACCGTAAAATGAGAGCTCTGGAGAGAATGTGGTGTGTCTCACCGTGTCTCTGATCTCCTCGTTTGCTTAGGATTTAAACCGTTTCTTTAAATTCAATGAAGCTAAAACAATTTGTTTAAAACTGACTGGCAACGAGTGAAGTCTCCAGATGTTAATGGCTTATTTACTTCTACTGCAGTACCATTAAAGAACACTAATCAAGATCAGAAGTAGGTTATTCTCCAGGTTGTGTAAATATCATAGTCATTTGGAGCACCTGTAATAAAATGCCTTGTTATCGGGGAGCAAGGTAAGACAGACAAACAAGATTTTTCAGCTGTTAGTTTTCAGTCAAGTTTTAAGTGACATTAATTATCTGTAGCATCTTTTACATGCCAAATGAGAGAATACAGTGTATAACAGATGTTGCCTCCATACTTAATGCTAACTGTTTTTTTAAACTGGAAGAAGTAACTGTAAATCCTATGATAATACAAATTATAGCAAAACCAACTCTGTTCAGAAACATTTTAAAGACATTATCTTGATATTCCAGTTAGTTTTAGGATTCCTGTTTGTCTGTCAAGGCTATTTCTACAGCCTTTTTCTTTTTTTCTGCCTCATTTTGCCTTTTTTCTTTCTCAGTTCTCTTTTCATAAGTTGAAATATATTTTTGCAAAATACAGCTGCCATACAGGCTTTCCCCTAAAGCCAACGCACTACTTCAACTACACTCTTTAAATGACCTCGGTATTGGTCAGTAACGTACAGATGTGGCTGACACAGAGGAAATTGCTGATGGTTGTAGTGAACTGCTTGTAATTAGAGCTGTAGCTGAAACCCGTAAAACCGATTCCTCACTGAATGCTTTAGGTCAGTAACTGGGAAAAGTTCACAACTGGTGAAATATATGATTTGTCAATCTCATTTAATTTCGACACCACTAAGAGTAAGGCATTAGTCATTTCTTGGGACTGCATTAAAGGCAGTGTTGACCTGTTCGTGATCATAAAATCCCATAAATAGAGCTAGCCTGTCTTCATAGAAACCTGTCTTGCATTTCATTTTTCTTAGCATTTGCTTGAAGTGATAAGGCCTGATTCCTTTACTAAGATGTTTCTGAAGCCACATACATAGTGTTGATTTTCAATAAAATTTAGTACCCTCTTCTTTGCTTCCTTTTTTATCCTGTCTGCAGAAAAATCTGTCTAGCTCGGTATGTCCCAATAAAGCCTGTAGCATTTACTTCTTCTCTAGGTCTGTTTTCCTTTGTCTTCTCCTAATGTCTCTTCCTCCAGTCTGGAGGCTGTTGTTCTGCAGCTCGCCTGGTGCTTGTTGTCAGCTTCCACCAGCCTGATGGATCTCTGGGAAGGAAAGGCAGGAGCTCTTAGTGGGCCTCTTTTCACCTCATCTGTGCAGCTAAAGATTTGACATGCACTTTCCTGAGACGGACTAAAACTCCGGTTTTGAGAAACATTATGTAAATTTACTGTTTTATGTAAGGAACTGTTAATAATGATGTACATTACAGCATGCTTATGAGATTAAAGGCAGTACTTTGTCTTGTACACCAGCAAAAAAGCGGAGTCTTGAAAAATGTCTAAAAAGTAAAATGATTAAAGTAGACTTGACATTTGTTTTGATGCTTCTGTTTAGGTGCTGACCCCAGCACAAATAAAATCCATTTGCCTGGCCATACTAGAATCAGGAAAGCAGTATGCAGTGAAGAAGAGGAAACCATTCCCACTCATGTATTCCTACTATGGGACAGAGTATCTTGGTGAGTAAAACACACCAGCTACTTTGAAAGTGATGCTGTGTGTAGATGCTGAGCCAGTAGACGTTTCAGAAATAACATATATAAAACCTACAGCGTGGGATTTCTTCTGACTGAGCTGGGACCGTCCAACCTTCTAAAACTGCTAAGTGGGACTGAGGAGTTGGAGGGAAGGACTGAAGCTGCCTAGCGCTGGGGAACGCAAGAGGTGTCTGTGCTGCACCAGGGGAGCAGCAGGCAGCAGCTTCATTCCTCCTTCTCCTTTCTGCCCTGGTAAATCTGCCCTTGCGGATGGAGGCAGCGAGAGGTGTGGTGCCCATGCCTGTGTGTAGAAAGTTACCAGTGAAGACCATCAGGGGATGTTATTTGTAAGCTGCTGTTGCCACGCAGGGACTTGCAGAGGGTTTTTAGCCACAGCAGCACAACTCAAGCATATGGTCAGCTCCTACTCATCGTGAGCAGCTTAGCTAGAACTCATCTGAAGCAATGCTGAAGGGTCGTTGAGCAAGTCCCTAGTGGGGTCCTCAAGGCACAATATCGTACTGCAGAAAGCGTGAGATTGGCTTGCAGGTGTTAGTGAGTTCTCTGGCAGGGGAGCAGAGGGAGAAGTCACCGAGTGGTGCTGCTTCACAGACCCTGGCAGGTGCAGACATTTCTTGCACTGAACTTCAGGTTTTAGCTGACTGATACTGTCAGTCAGTAACTGGGAATACCATTTATGGTCCAGTTTCAATCTGGGTTCAACAAAGACTTCAGAATAATGGTCTAGATTCAGTACTGTGTCTGAATAATGTCTTGAAACAGTATTCAGTTTAGGTTCTGTGTTAACTTCACACACTGAGTTTCAGTCACATCAGAGTGAGAGCAGACAAAATTTGTATTTTTGCTTAGCTTGGGGAACTGGAAAAGACAGAAACAGTTACAAATCATAGTGCCATGTACCTAAAAAGCTTTATTCCAAGCACTGTTGTGATACGCATAAAGAAGATGAAAGAGCCCCATATGGACTGGACAAGGAGATCAGTCCCAAGAGAAGGCTGCTGTGAGATGGAGGTAGGTCTTAAACCTGCCCTCTCCTTTTGACTGTTGCTGTTCTTTACAGGTGCAGCACATGGGCTTTCATCAATCCTTCAGATGTTGCTTTCCTATTTCGAGTACCTACAGCCAGCAGATCAGGAGCTTGTGTGGCAGAGCGTTGATTTTCTCATGGACCAAGAACAGAACAGCAACTGGCCTCCTGAGCTGGGAGAGACAATCGAGCGGGAGAATGAGCTTGTACACTGGTGTCATGGAGCTCCAGGTTCTTTTCCCATTGATGCTATGAATAGCCAGATGCTGATCCCATTGCTTTTCCACGTTAGGTGATTCCATGTAGAAGATAATCTCAGGTTAAATTAGACCGATTTTGATGTTTTATAAGAGGCAGGCAAACTGTGTAGGCTTTTTCTTCCACTTAAAGAGTGTTTTATTTATTGCTGAAGCAGCTGGAAGGATAGGAGTCTTTTCTGCCTTAAAAACATAGGTGATCACAGCTGAAAGAATGCTGGTGATCCTGATCTGTATGTTTTCCACTCTTGCTCCCTTTCGTGACAAGACCTCTAAGAATGGCACAGCTGAGTCAAAAGACAGTGTATGCTGGACAGAGAAATAGTATGCGAAAGAAAACAGATGCAGACTCATCTGTGAGTTTTGGGAAGGCCTTCAGAATAGGTTTTTTCCCCACTCATCAGAACCAAAGTTTAATCTGCACTTACCACCTGGATAATGCATAAATTTGACCAAAGTATTTTCATATGAAGGGGAGTTTGTACTAGCATGAGGCATTTTTTTCTGAAAATCACCCATATAAAACTGCTTTTCAGAAAAAAAGAGAATCAGGCCTTTAGTTTGGGTTCATGAGGTAAGGCGGATGTCTGCCAATTCAGAATTTAATCCTATACCTTAGCAATTTTGGCAAGTAATGTTGTATATTGAAATTGGTTTTTTACCCCCAGGGAGAATTTTATTGCTAACTAGTCATATTGGCTTGGTAACATGAACCTAGAAGGTTACAGAAAAACTTAGTTCGGTTAAAGAATGTCCATGAGCATTGATGCATTGCTTTAAAGGTGTTCTGTTTAAATTACAAAAAGAACATTGTAATTAACATCTCTTAAATGTGCTTTCTGCTGATGCATTATCTTTTTGTTGGTACAATTAAGGAACAAGCTTCTTGCTCTCACACTCTAATGGAGTGAAGCGAAAACAGCTTTTGCTTACCCACCTTTTTTAAGAGGAAAAAATGACTTCTACAGCATGGCTGACCTAGTGATGAAACCTGCAGGGAAGATGCCCTCTCTGTTTCAGTATCTTGAGAGTGGCCTTTGACTTGGGTTTAACTGTTAGTGGAGGCATATGCAATGAGATTCAACCAAAGTGACAAAATCCCAAAGGGCATAAAGAAGTTACTTTAGGAGACATTTAGAGACATGTAAATTCATTAATTGCTATTGTTCTTCCCCAGAAAATCCTGTATCCCTTCACTGTTCTTGGGTAATAATGCACATGTAGTTTACAAGAACACTTTTCAGCTGCTTCAGTGTATATTATATTCAGACCCCAAGTGAGCTATTCTAAACATTTCCTTAGGCACTTGATTTGGTCATGTGTCATGTATATTCTTTTACGGTTACCATGAACTGAGCTGTGCAGTGCTCTGTTGAAGATTGTGATTAATTTATTTGAATCCCCTCTAAAAATAAGCCAAAAAACTTGCTTCCTTTTTTTTTAACAGAAGTTAGTATGCATAACTGTTTATAACTAGAATAAAGCAGTATGGGCCCCACTGGAAAAAAAAAAAAAAGCAAGTTTCTTTTTCTGAATCAGTAAAAAATTGTATCTGTTGCCAATGTAAGAAGTTATCTTGCCCATCATTATGTTTCTATCGGCATAAACAGGAATGGGAATTTGAAACCAATAGAAGGCATTGCTAAGAGTTTACTGGTTTAAAGGCAAAAATGTGACTACTGTTTTAAATTGATAAAAGACTGGGAATATTAGAGTAAACCCTGAAATTCAGTAATGCGCTGAAAAGATTGAAAGTGGTGTTGTCACAGGAAGTGGATAAGCACATCTTACCAATAGTTTTTAGCATACCAGGTGCTCTCCCCTCCATGTGTAGCATATAGATATGTAGCGTTGACACGTGTACAGCATGCGACTGCAGTTTTTTAGTGCATCTTTATTTTCTTTTGTGTTCTACGAAACAGAGACAATCTCACTGCTGTTTTCCTAGGCATTGCGTATCTGTTTGCCAAAGCTTACCTGGTTTCCAAGAAGCCTCAATATCTGGACACTTGTATCCGCTGTGGAGAGCTAACTTGGCAGAAAGGCCTGTTGAAGAAGGGACCTGGAATATGCCATGGAGTGGCTGGTAGTGCTTATGTGTTCCTGCTGCTGTATAGGCTCACTGGAAACTCGAAATACATATACAGGGCACAAAGGTCAGCATTCCTACCTTTCTGGATTCAGGGTGATAGCAGAAAGTTTCAGAGACGTTTATAAATCTGCTCAGTCTGTGATCACCACCCTCAGATGTAACCTGAGTGTTAAGCCCCAGGTTCAGATCTGGCTCTGAGTTGTGGGGCAGGCACACTGCGGGGAGCCCCGCGGTTCTGCTTCCAGACTGCCTGTGGCGGGAGAAGCATCGGGTCCTCCCGGCCTCCCCCCTCCCTGCCCGTGACCCTGCGCTCCTTCCGAAGGAACCGGGGTGGATGGGGAGGAACGGCACACGTTCAGGTCTCATCCTGACGTGAGGCCAGAACAGCCAAGTTGCATACCCAGGTCTAGAAGCAGAGTAGAATGTGATGCTGTTCATTACATTGATTTGTTCTGCTTTTCAGAGTGTTTAACACTATCCCTTACTACTAAATATGGAAAATAAGCATAGGAACTGCTTTAATGTTTTTTAATTTATCATTCCTAGCTTTAGCCAGTTTGACACTTTTTGGCTATTCAGCTTAGCTAGTGGGGTTAATTCCATTTTGTTCTGATGCAAGCAAGTATATCCCACTGAAAATTCTGTCACAGTGCCGCAATTATCTTTAATTTTATTTCTGTGATTTACCATATACATTTGAAAAGATAATATTCAATGTTTGTTTTCCTTGCAGCATGAAGTGGTATAGTAATTAGGGTGACTTAATTTTCAGCCTTTTGCTTTGAAGTGAACATTTTATTTGTTTAGTTATTTCAGCATTACAG